TATGTATTTGTTAATCTTCGCTGGTTTGTTTCTATAATTTTAGGGAAAAGGGACTTTTCCTGGGGGGGCAAAATGTGATTTCGTGGGGGGGCACAAGGGGGGACTGGGGGGGCATTTGCCCCCCCAGCTTGTATGTTAAAAAAGGCCCTGGTGTTACTACTTCGTAAGGCGTGTTTTCCCAAGATGTGTTAATAAAAATTTTAATTAGGTGTGTTATTTGAAAAAGTGTGTTATCTGACCAAGGCGTGCTATTTTACAAGATGTGTTGCCTTTCGAAGGTGTGCTGTAATTAAAAGACATGCTGGAGTAACACACGCATTTTGTCGGAAGGTCTCTTTGGCTTAATAGCACGAAAGATGTGTTATTGAAAGGCGTGCTTTTTAACCCACTGGCGTGCTCTTTAACATACCATGATAGGTTAACTAGCACATCAAGGTGTGTTAAGGTTTGATTGTGTGTCAGTGTAGCACACCAGGCGTGTAAGATAACACAAGTCGGTGTGTTATTAAGCACATCTATTTTTTAGAGTGTAGTAGCCTGCGTAGCAGGCGTTTGGTGCGGGCGGGAGAAGAGAGGGCGTCGTTAAATAAATGCCTGCCCATGCAAATTTGTTCTTCACGAAGAATCTTCGGAAAAGATTCCCATTGGTCAATCTCGTTAACGGAAGTAATTACGTAACTCAAATGTCAACAATAATTTTGCCGGTTATCGCGATTATTCCTGCGGAATACGGAAAATCGGCAAATCAAAGCTTGCCCGAGCAGGGATCGAATATTCCTTATAGTTGTTTTGTTATTTGTTCACTTTAAAGTATAATTCAAGAACAGATAGTTGAGGCTACATCACTTGTCATTGCAGCTATGAGGTTGGATGATGATTTTAAGAATAACAATTCAAAACATGGTCAACTGTTATTTGCAGTGAATTTGCTATACGGCAGAATACGTTAAATAACCGTGGTTCAGGAGCCTTTTAAAAGATAAAGGCTCTGTGTTGTGACTGTTGTCTAAAATAGCTTCAAAAAACATTAATAATTCATGAGGAACAACACAAAGATAAATCATAAACGTGTATCTTTATATGTGATAGAGATTTCCCTTGATTTACATAAACTTTAACTTTGATTTTCTCTACAGACACAACGAATTTTTTGAAAGCTATTTCGCCAATGAACTTATACTAGATCGATCGTTTTTGAAGCAATTTAAAACATTTGCAGTGGCTATTTTATCAGACCATCTTTATGTCTGATAAAACACTGCTGCTCCTGTTTTAAATAATAATTCATGATGCAAGTATCCAATCTTGAGTAAGAAATTAGTGACGTGCATACGTCTTTATACCAGCTAAAGAACACTTTAACAAAAGACCATTGTTATGCAAACTATATAAAAAAATTTTATATAAAGATTTTTATATAAAGATTTGACTTATTATGCAAACGTTTTTGAAGCCTTTTAAAAAACTCGCAGGTCGTGTTTTATTAGGTCTAAAGCCACTCGCGCTGCGCGCTCGTGGCTTTAAACCTAATAAAACACTCCTGCTCGTTTTTTAAATAGTACATAAAATCTCTACAAATCTCCCTAGTTGCCGAGCAAAAAGCATGCATGGTGGTAAATATAAATCTCGACTATGATTGGATAATGGGTGAAGGTGCTAATTACTTGGCCTTAATGGCCTTAATGGGCGAAAACAAATTTGTCATAGACATTTGGGCGGGCGTTTCCTCTTTTCCCGCACGTACTAAAGCTTGCTACGCAGGCTAACCATGTAACAAATCAGATAAGCACTGGAGTTTCAACCCTTTCCTCTCTCCTAACATTTCCCTCGCAAACTCGAGTGATATTTCGCATCGCGTGTTTTATGCACTGACCGCTTTCGTATAACTATAAGAACAATACTCTCCTCGCCTGTTTCTACACTGACTGCCTTGCCATAACTGTATGGAGATAATGTATGGATATGTTTGTACCAGCTTTGTATTAATATTTATTGATGTGTCATAGATAGGAAATAGTCGGGCTCCCAGTGCTCAGAATATATATATATATATATATATATATATATATATATATATATATATATATATATATATATATATATATATATATATATACAACAATTGGAAAGCGTTAATATTGAAAAATAACCGATATCATTTGTTGATGAAGGGATCCACTCAAGCATGAAGTAAAAATGTCTACTACATAAGCATTAGAAATTGCACAAAAAGGCTACGCTACGAATTGAATAGTTCTACATACCTTCGCTTTCGATAGACTGCAGCATTATACTGTCTAAATTGACATAGCTTATTTCATTATGCTCAAGATCCCACAATCTATCTGATAGTTCAGCAAATGTAGGCCTGTCTTTTGGAAGATGACTCCAACACGTTACCATTATCTCGTATCTAAAACAATGAAGTAAGTCTATATTACTTTGATTCTTACATTTGAAAGTTTACAATAAAAAGTGAATAAAATTATAATATTACTGAATTAAACCAGGGATTACTACATTTTAATTAGCAAAGTGTAAACTTAAAGTTCTGAAATAAAAGGTTGGTAAAATATATGGTTTTCCGACCATTTGACAAATATTAATTTTTTTTAAATGGAATGAAAGGTCCTGAACTTAAATTAACTAGTTTACAAGGAAGACATGCATTACATAAGAGTGAAAAATATTTAAAAATTATACGAGGGAAAGTTCAAAGATTGTTAGAAGATTTCTCTTAAATGTATAAATACTGCACTAGTAGATAGTTTTTCTTTCTGTCCAAGTTGTTCCAGCTGTCTGTTATGGCCTGATAAGCGAGTCTTTGCTTCCCCATTCCTTGACACTGTTAGGTGGCCTTAAGTTGTCCTTATTTCGCGTAATGTAGTTGTGTATTCCTCTGTTCGCTAGAAGTTCAAATCCATGTGAGGTATGATTATTTAAAAGTGTTTATGATACAATCTGCGTTGTTCAAGAGTGGTCCAGCCTAACGTGTCTAACGTGTCTGTTGCCGATGATAAAAATGGTCTACCTAACAACAGTCTTGGCTGCTTTGTTCTGGAGTATCTGAAGATTATATGGAGATAGCGTAGCCAGGTTTAGACATAATTAAAAACATAAACGTTCTCTGACTAAAATTTTATTTAAAAACGAGCTTTCGACTACCTAACTGTAGTCTTCGACGGGTAAAGCGGAATGAATTATTATTAAATTACAAGCGTTATTATATATATATATATATATATATATATATATATATATATATATATATATATATATATATATATATATATATATATATATATATATATATATATATATATATATATATATATATATATAACAGGAAGTGCAAGATATGTGTGTTAATTGAAGCGTCTAGCGATGACATTTTTTATTAACTAGCATAGCATATTGTTTCGGAAGCGGCTTAGAATTATTGTCAGAATTTGTTATTATAGCAGTATGCCAAGATTCTAATGTCTTACGTGTCCGATAATTGCCACGACCCATTACTTTCCCATATCAAAGTCAATTATATGGTCCATATCCCATGCATGTTTAGCTATGTTTGCCCCTTTTTTAGAGTTTTTACATTTCGAATATGTTCCTTCTTTCGGGTTCCAAATGATCTTCCAGTTTCGCCAACATATGACCACGAGCAGTCAGAGCAAGGTATATTATATACGACGTTGATACGTTGTTCAGGTGGAACTTGATGTTTAGGGGTAAGAAAGATTCTTTGTAAAGTTTTTAAAGGTGTAGTCGTTACCCTAATGTTCTGTTTTTGTAATATACGTCGGAGTGCATCAGTTATTCCACTAATGTATGGTAGAGTCACATGCCCATATGGTTTGTCATCTTGAGAAACGCGTTTGAAAAATTGGCCCACAAGTTCCTCAGGTGATGGTTCACGTTTGTTAGCAGTCAAATCTTTTAGCGTTTGTTTAACAATTTTATCGGGATATCCATCACATTTTAGAGTTGTTGTTATGTGATTGAGTTCGTCTTGTTTGCTTGTGTGTTTGGTTGGTAAAGTTTAGGACTGTCTGTGCTAATTTTGTGTTTAATGTCGTGGTGAGAGTTGAAGTCAAGATATCTGTCTGTGTGCGTTGGTTTCCTGTATACGTCAACTTCCAGGTTGTTACCAGGTTGTTACCATGTCATTTGATAATGGGAAAGTAATAGATCGTGGCAATTATCGGACACGTAAGAAATTAGAATCTTGGCATACTGCTATAATAACAAATTCTGACATTAATTCTAAGCCGCTTCCGAAACAATATGCTATGCTAGTTAATAAAAAATGTCATCGCTATACGCTTCAATTAACACACATTCTTGCACTTCCTGTTATATATATATATATATATATATATATATATATATATATATATATATATATATATATATATATATATATATATATATATATATATATATATATATATATATATATATATATATATATATATATATATATATATATAACCTAACACATGCACGCTTGTAATTTAATAATAATTCATTCCGCTTTACCCGTCGAAGACTACAGTTATGTAGTCGAAAGCTCGTTTTTAAATAAAATTATAGTCAGAGAACGTTTATGTTTTTTTATTATATCTGAAGATTGTTAATTAACACTGTATTATTTTTGTCTCCTCAAAAAACATCCGCATAGTCAAAGATTGGGAGTACGAGTCTGTTATAAAAAAGGATTCGTGCATTCAATGGTAGCAGATGTTTAATCCTACGAAGTAGACCTACGCGTTGATTGACATTAGCGGAAATGCGATCTATATGATCTGACCAGGTTAAGTTGGCTGTTATGGTGACTCCTAAGTACTTGAAATTGCTGGCGTTGGAGACTTCAGTATTGTTGACAGAGACAGATATCTAAGCTATATTACATGACTTAACTTCCTATCACTGGCTATAATAAATTATCGAGTTTTATTTAAATTCAGTGTCAGCTTATTCTCGTTTAACAAATAGCTAACTTAAGTAAATCTTCATTATGATTTTTTTCCAAGATCATCGACATCTGAGGCGTAGCAATATAAGACTGTGTCGTCGGCATACAAGGAAACATTGCATTTATTGGTAATACTGGGCAGATCGTTTTTGTACACGAGAAAGAGAAGTGTACCCAAAATGCTCGCTTGGGGTACTCCAAAATGACAGGAAGAGCGTCCGACAATTCACTTCCACCAGACGTTTGTTGCATCCGATTGCTCATGTAGGACTCAAACCAACCTACGGTGCTAGATGACACAGCCATCGCTTTAAATTTGTGGAGTAAGATGCTGTGATCCACTGTATCGAATGCTTTGGCAAATCTATAAATACAGCTACACAAAACCCTCCACATCCCATGTTGCTCATACTTTCATCCGCAAAATTGGTCAGGGTAGCGATGGTTGAGTACCTTTGTCGAAATCCAAACAGCTTGTTTGTGTTAGCAATTAGGTGGCTATACAATTGCGAGTGAACGGTTCTCTCTAATATCTTACTTAAAGTAGGCAAGACCGAAATAGGACGATAGTTTGTAGGATTGGAACGTTCACCTAAAAGTGCCTATATCACTTTTGGGACCTTTATGGATTTGAAAAGAGCGTAAAAAGTTAGTTAACAAGTTCAAAAGCTTTTTTTATTTAGTGCAATAATTTCGAAGATTCAGGTCTCTAAACTACCTACAGTTCTTGAGTCCCAGACTCCTATGCACATGGATAGTTTCGAAAAAGGCCAAATTCAATAGCCGTGTTTAGACCCCAGGAGGCTGATACTCAGGAACAGAACGTTGTTTAAAGGCCTATATCTTCGAAATTATTGCACTAAATCAAAGAAAGCGTTTGAACTTATTAACTAACTTTCTACGCTCTATTCAAATCCATAAAGCAAACACAAGTGATATGGACACTTTAAATAGGGCCGTGACCTTAGCGCATTTCCAAATCTTTAGGAAATGGTTGCTCTTGATGGAACGATTATGTAATCTTGTTACAGATTTGCTGATTGAACAAGACGCACATTTTAAGAGTCTTGCGCACTTAAAATAAATAACGCCACTTTGTATTCATTCATTATTTGCCATTTTGTGTATTGCTCTTCATAGAAGGGGCTAGTATTGTTGAAGATTATAGCTTGCACGAGATTTAGTTAGAAATTATATTTCCCGTTGTTTGGTTAATGCTAAATCAATGTTCGAACGGAAACGGGAACGACCACGACTTCCTTAGTATACGCTATCAAATCTCGTAGCGTTATAGTCGTGCTTGTATTCGAATCTAAATCTCCGTACTAAAATGCTTACAACGACAACGTGACCACGACGGCTGTTCTGGTCGATGTCGTCGCGTTGCCATCCTACATTGCAAGGTTTCTTGCGTCACAAAGGAGCAATGATTTTCCCTGGATTTATTGGTTCTCAAACATTTGCGCATGGTCTCGGTAAAACTTTCAAGATATTAATGAACACATTCCAATTACCATAGAGAGACTGAATGGAAACATAACGTTTGCAGTACAATTCCCGTTTACTGCATTTTAAAATTGCACATATAACAATCCATGACGCTTTTTTCTCATTTTGAAACATGAAATGTAGTAGCTGTCAAACAAAGGTCTTTAGTAAAAGTGTTTAAGTCATTACATTCGTGCATGCCGCAGACATGCATATTCCTGGCCTGATACTCATTAGCTTGTTGCTGCTCCGAAAAGTTAACTAATTATAGGTATTACATTAATCTTTTAACGTAAATCTTACATATCTTCCGTACAGCTGTCCACTTTCTCCAATCTCTTTCCGGAAAGTAAGAAATCTTTGAGATCCCTGTCCGAGACTGATGGATAAGGAGTGTCGCCTAAAATATATAAATCAGGTTAGGCACATGCAAAAGAAGAAGTTCCCACATTTAAGCAAATGGACGTAGAGGAGAAAAGGCAAATATATATAAAATTAATTTTTACTGTCAAACGTTTTTTTTTGTTCTGACCGATAGTGAAATTTGTTTATAGAAAAAAAAAATCATTTCGCTAGCTGTCGCCTTCTACTTGGTTGACACAGTATGCCGTCGAGAAGTCGACAGGAAATGCTCCTACCTAAAGTACATATTTCCCACATTACAACTCCAAATGCCCATCTAAAAATGAAAAATGACGCATATATAAAAACGTATATAAAAATATGTTATTGCTTGAAAAAAAAATGATGTTAATTTTAAACAAATGGTTCATGCATGCATGCAAATTGGTAAATAAGGGCTTTTAAGTATTATGACACTATTTTTAAATGATGACGTGACAATTTGACATAACCTTTTAAGGAGACTTTTGTTTTCCAAATTTTCGTGGAATTTGTCCAAGATTTGAATGTGGTCTGAAAATGTTTACTGATAAAATTTAAATCACGAAATGTGACGCGAAGACATACGGAATTGCAGAGCGCAATTTTTGTGCATGTTAGAAGCAAAACCGTTGAAATTTCAGCTGCTTGCAGTTAAGTATTTGTTTCTCTTTCTCCCATGTGATTTTATGTCTATATCACAGCAATATTTTAATGCTTTTTCCCTTTAAATGGTATTTTTTTGTTTCCTTCGACGTTTCCCGCCAAATTCTGTGTATGCATTTCAGGTGACAGTATTGTTTTTCACAACTATTTTCCAATGTATTTCGTATTGTTTTATGCGTATTTTAAACGAACATTTATAAACTATTGCAACGTTTATAAAAATCATATCGTTTACGGTTTAAAATCGTCTTAAATTCTCGACTTTTAAGTCTTCTTCATCCTCTTATAATTCTCAAAACTTCGCTTCTATTTCCCTCCATATCGTGACTGTTTTTTGGCCTGTTTCAAAATAATTTCGCAGCTCACAAGCTGTGAATAGAAAAACAAATTTCGCAGGTTGTTTCCAAAATTAATAAATAAATGCGGCAAGCAAAGCGTGTGAAAGTCGAACGAAATCATCCAGACGCTGGTTTGCGGGGTTTTAAATTTTATTTATTTGGAGTTTGTGTTTTAGTATAAAAGAGTATATTAATTAAGACAATTAGACAACTCGTTCTCGTTGCCTATGGCGAATTGTCAATACAGGCAGCGCCTTCCATGATTCTTGATTACTCATTCGGATACCCGATCTTCTTGAACATTTTAAATAAATATTTTTACTTCCAGTATAGCAACGAAATTTTCCAGATAAAAACGCTTAATACAAGCTGAAATAAATGGTAAGTTTTTATCTATAGAAATAACTAAACAGAATGTTTAGTCTCATTAAACAATATAGCTCACAAATCACTGAATATGACAGCGGACTAGCGCGCCTTTACTATTGTAATAAATACAAGGTATTTTGTAAAATTTGTCAATTTATCAGGAGTGCAATGCGTGGTGTCCTCTTTTTCGTTACCGTCAATTTCATTGCAGCGTTTGCACGTACTCAGCGGTATGGAAGTAGCAGTAGCTACTTCAAATTGATACAACACAAAATAACACAACTCCAAAAACTGAATGGATGTTGAAGTACGATATTTGTGTTTTGTTTACTTAATTTTTTATTTTTTTATTTTTCTAAATTTTCTCCACGGATACATTGTGTTGATAATATCTATGGGAACTATATTGTCGTTTGGTTTAAAATGCGAGGTGGTCTGGCGGTACGTAGGTATTTCCATTTAAATGGCGTACTCACACATCACTGGCAGTGGAATAAGCTCGTTCTTGAATCGCTTCAATCGATAGCCATCGGAAAGGAATTTTCCCGTTAGATTTTTTTATGTATGCCCCCTCGCGTGACAAGCCAAAATCTGATATTTTTAAAACTTTTCCTTCTCCAAGTAGTATGTTTCTAGCAGCCAAATCACGGTGAACTATACCAAGACCTGAAACATGTTTCTAAAAAAAAATATGAAATGATATAATTATTATTACACAACGGTGATTATGGTTGATTAAAGAGCACTTGGTTGAGTGACTTGATAATATGGCCAGGGGCGAATACATCTAGAAGTCATTCATTTATTTAGTAGTGTTAAAATATTAGAAGGGTTGTGGATTATTTGACTATATATCCATGAACAATTACGGACAACAAGCATATTGACATTGTTTCAGGAAATATTTTAGAAATTCTTGTTTTAAACAATTTTACCATTCCAGTAGCAATTTGACGAGCAAATGATTCCAATTCTTTGGAGTCCAAAGCAAATCGAATTTCCTTGTTTATTCTTGAGGCAATCTCGATGTTTAAATCTAAATTGTAAGATAAATTGACATAAAATTTGACGTGAAGCACCATCTTGTATAATATTGCATCCCTACGTTCAAAATATTGATTAAATATTTTTTTATAGAATTTAATTAATTTACTTCCAATGCATGCAGACAGACTGCAAGCTTATGAATTTCTTCTTCCTGTAAATATTTTTATTGGTTTGCATATTTTTGCTTAAAACGTATAATGAGTAAAAGGTTTTCACCATGAATTCGCATTGTATTAATAAAACATACTTGGATGATATAACTTAGAATCATCATGAAATCAGTGCAGGAGATAATGTACGTTATCAAAGTTTTGTGACTATCTTTTCTACATCTTTAGGCCTATACCTCATCATAATTAAAGAGCAAAAATAGCTGTAAATATTACTGGCGAGTGAACGTATAATATTATTTTGCCGCCCACAATATAAGATGGACATAATTACCATTTCTGAAACCCTATATTTCAAGTTATTTTGGATGAGCATGGACAAACCAAACCAATCTTTCTCCCCGAATTGCTGAAAAGATATTCGTGTATTCTCATGCAAAGGAAATTTCATATATTATTTCGGAATTGCTATCGTAATTACCTTCCGTTTGTTTTATCCCTGCTTTTTCCAACATATACCGTTCACTTGTATTTCCAAGAATTGAAGATGTTGGATCATTTGGCATTTTGCCTGCCTCAATCAATTTCCGATATCCTTCCTGAAATGTTTTCAATTCGGTAATTGTAAATTTATTTTTATACCTTGTAAGCGCAAAAAAAGTTAAATTGGCTTTCATTGTAGTAATAAACTAAAAAATACTCGATTCTGATTGGTTAAGATGACTGCAATTTTATCTTGCATTCTAATATTAAACTAAAAAAATACTCCATTCTGATTGGTTAAAATGACTGCAATTTTATCTAAAACTGTCCAAGAAATGAAATGCAGAACAAAAATTAACATGCACAGATTGATAAATTAAAATACACAACTTAATTTGGTTGTCTCAGGTGCAATTACTAGACCTAAATTTTATTGGTAACTTAAACAAAAATATGAGTTATTTTAACACATTTTTCGGTTCTGTTGCATGACTAAAAGGAAGTTAATTTAATCGTTGAAAACAAGTCCTACTTATTTATTTTAACCACCCTTGTTCATATACAGTGTGGCAAGCGCTAAAACAAAAGAGATTTTGACTTAAGTTTTGACTGTAATAATTAAGTTTCGTTTGAGGTGCAACCAGATGCGTGAGTAAATTATTTGTATCGCATTGCTTGTCCATAATTTTGCCGTGCATGTGATAATTATATAATAACATGTTTTTTCTAGTAACTTTAACTCCAGTACCAATCTTTCTGAGGGGTGTAAGAAGCATGACACAAAATTCGGTTTTGAGCTTTCCGCCTTAACATAACATAACATAACATAACATAACATAAATTAACATAACAATAATTTATTAGCACCATTATTAGAATACAAAAATTAAATAATTTACACACTGAAATTCAACTAGATAATACAGGTTATCGGAAAGAACATTATGTGGTCAGTGACAGACAAAACAAACCAAAAAAAACATTCGAGAATATTTAATCAATGTAATTAAGTCAAATACATTGATAAAGGCATAATAATACTCTTTTTAGATGGAAAACATTTTCATTTCTTCATCGAAATCATTCAATATATTTTTGGAAATCTTATAGGAAATTTTCCGCAAATTTTTCTAGTTATGGGTAAGGCCGGAATACGAATTTTTTGAAGCTAATAATTGTTATGATGATGTTTTAATTTAAAGGCACAGTTCAGCCTTTTGAATTATTTTTTAAATGGTTTTTAAGGTGCATTTCAGCATTTTAAATTGAAAAAAATACTAGGACAATCAATTACGCAAAATTATCTTAAGTTATACTGAATTGATTTTCCTAGTTAGTTTTTGTTCAATTCAAAGGCTGAAATGCGTCTTAAAATCCATCATTCAAAAAGGCTGAACTGTGCCTTTAATACTGGTAGCGAATCGGCGTACCACCCGGATTCTCATTCAATGTTGAGCATCAACATGAAAAAATCAACCATCTGTATCCGGTCATTTTCTAGAACTCGAGGCCTTTGTACTCAGGCTATCAATTTATTTAAGTTAGCGGCGCTTTAAATATAAACTAAAACTTAAGGTGGCTCGCTACCCTTTTTAAAAAAATAAAGATTACCTGATTTGGATATTAATTTCTGGAGAATTATTATTTGCTTAAAAACAAAGAGTACGTGACTGGTGTAACACAATGACTGAGAAGTTCTGAATTTAAAAAAAAAAACGACTCCTAACTGCAATTGCTATGGCAACCATGATATCACAACATGGCTGATATTTATGTTTAAAGTAATTTAACTTGAAAAAAAGGTCGGTTACCCCCATTTTTTATTTCATAAAATCATCTCTTTTTGTATTTTGAATTATTTTCATGATTTTAAAAAATTCTATAATGACCAAAAAAATTATCACGAATTTTCACATTTTCCTATGTTGAAAAATTTCGGCATTACATAATGTTTTTTAAAATTTGAAAAATAATTCAAAATACCAATAGAAATAAATTTAAGAAATAAAAAATGGACGTAACCTACATTTATTTCGAGTTAAATTACTTTAAACATAAAATATTCCAATGTTGTGACATCATTGTTGCCATAGCAACGGCTGCTGGGAGTAGTTTTTTGAAAAATTTCGAACGCTTTAGTCATTATTTTATGCCGGTCATATACTCTTTGTTTTAAACAAGTAATAATTTTCCAGAAAATCATATCCAAATGAGAAAATCTTTACTATTTAAAAAAGTTTAAGGAGCCACCTTAATTTAAATAAGAATAATTTTAAACTGTATAATAATTGAAAAAAAACTAGAAATTAGAGCTTTTTGTTGGTAATATATCATACCTTGCTAGATTCTGTGACATCAACTATACGCTTGCTTGCTATGTCCTTACACTTTAAATTAAGAAAAAAAACATATATGAAAATGTAATATACGTATGTAAATTTAAAGATTTAATATTTTTTGTTCTTGAAATACCGATAAGCCATTGAATGAAAATTCCTTCCCAGGAATAATGGAAAAGTCATTAGGAGATAATGGTTACCATTTTTCAAGTGGTTACCATTGCAGGGAGAATGCAAAGGGGGAGAACTTTCTAATGGTCAGCAAACTGCATGAAAATTGCCGGAATTTGTGAAGACTGAAGTTCTGATTTCTGAAAGACACAAGTGTTTCTAAAAATCAAATTTCCCAGCGCATGCATCATGGCTCTTTTACTAACCACATTAAAAAATGGCTTACGCAAAAAATGGAAGGTTGCGCCTTGCAACCTTACACGCGCTTTGATAGGAAAAATTACCTTCTTTTTGAGAGACTTCAGATAAATTTCCAAATTTCCACCTGGCGCGTATTCAAGGATTAAACATATTGGACGACAACTTGTGCAACAGCCAAACATCTGTATGACATTTTCATGTTTTCCAAGGTCCGTCATCAACTCAATTTCACGTAAGATTTCACTATATTCTTCTTCGTTGATAGATTCTATAACATTCGTTCAATTTATTGAGATTAGTTGATTGCTCAAAAGACGATACCTGAATGAGAACATCAGTTACTGCCGTCATTACAACTGCCCGTGTAAGATATGTATGTCATTTAACGGGTGCATGGGAGGGCCGTACTGAAAAAAATATTTTTCCCAGGTCTCAGAAGCGGCCCGAGGCCGACGGACACTTCTGAGGCCGAGGGAAAGTACTTTTTAGTACGGACTGAACTGAACGGTAAATAACGTGTTTATTTTATTATTTGATAGTGTTGCGAAGTAAGTATGCCGACAAACTGCATAAACGATGCGACAAAGCTGAATAAAAAGCTTTTAGTTTCGTTGCAATTGAAGCTTTTCTACTCGAAAAGACAAAAGAAGGTAAACTAAGCAAAGTTATTAATTTTTCGGATCGTTTTACAGCATGGACATGCTTAAAAATAGTTTTTTGACAGACAACTGCAAATTTTAGTTGCCCAAAAACAGTTTGTTCATCACAACATTTAAAAAAACGATTTTGATCAAATTAAGCCCAGGAATCGTACGTATACTTAAGAGGGAATCTCCATGCACTATCGCCGAGCAACGGGTGGCACATGATGAAAAATGAAATGTTTTTATTTTGTCCAGTAATACTCTTATGTATACTTAGAAACGTCATGTTGTTTGTTTTCTTAAATATTATTTTAAACACCGATACATTATCAAAACCTGACACGCACCCAAAATTCGTGGAATTAGACAAAACATTGCGAGTCATAGCCTTTCGAAAACTTCGTTTTGTTCAATTCGCGTCTTCAGGAAACCTCACTTTCGGTCTTTAAACGTGTATATAAGATGTTTATGAACAACGATGGTCTATTTTGCCATCTTATAAATGATGTTTCAAAATGAACGCAAGCGTGTAAAAATCGCCTTTTTCCCATCTAAAAGATTTTAAGTTTGGTATATTTTTGAAAATTAATTTTCCCTTTCCGGTAGAACTCCGATTGCTTCAAATTTAGACAAATGTATGAGCAAATATTGCTTTCAAATCTGATGTAAAAAATATTATAATTATGGGGTGTTTTGTTATCACGAAATCATAATGTCTATAATATGCAGCCGATTATATGTAGAAAGACACTTAGGCCCCCTGTTACACGATACCGGATTCGCATCGGAGCGACATCAAATTGTACTGCTTCGAGGTGAATTTGGCACTTAAAATATGATAATATAACATAATTATAACAAGAGCTTCAAATATGATCATGAAATGTTGTAAGAGCAGACAAGACTGGAAAACACCTTAAATTGATATCGCTCCGATAAGAATGCGGTATCGTGTAACTGTGGCCTTATAAACAGACAGTCTGGACACAGTTCTGCTCAGACTAGACTATCGAAACGTGAGAATTTATACTTGTTTTCTTCTCTTGTTATTTGGTTTTGAATGATAAATTATAAATTATTTTAAATTATTTTGCTTGTTTATCGGGATTTTAGAGAAATAAATAGTCAATATGAACATGATGAATATACACCCACCCCGGTCCAATTATCGCGCTGATTTTCTCGATATTATAGTCATTATAATTCCGCGGTAACAAAAAGCCCCAAAATAAATTTTATATCAGGTTTTAGAGCAACATTTAAATTTCAATGAAGTTGGAGTTTTACCGGATACGGAAAATTAATTTTCAAAATGTGTACCAATTTAGAATTTTTTGGATCGTAAAAGAAGACGATTTCTACACGCTTGTCTTGACTTTGAAACATCATTTCAAAAATTGCAAATTAGACGCATGTTCTTTACAATCGTCTTATAAACACGTTTAAAAACGAAAGGCGAGGTTTCATGAGACGCCAATTGATCATGATAAAAAGGAAATTTTCGAGAGGCCGTGGCTCACATTTCTTTTTGCTAATTTCGAAAATTTTGGGTATGTGTCAGGTTTTGTTCATTTTCGGCGTTTAAAATAATATTTCAGAAAAAAACACCACCACGTGCACGTTTCTGAGTAAACATTAAAAAATAAGAAGATTTTTTCTTTTCCTCATGTGCCACTTATTCTCGATTTTGCTCGGATTTAGTGGAGATTGTCGCTTAAACTGCCATTTAAGGTATTTTTAAAATGTTATGGTCAAGGACAAGTTGTACATTGTAGTATTTATATTTCTACGTATATCGTCGAAGACTAGCTGTATATATTTGGAGCATTTGAATCAAGATGTGTAGCACTGGCCATCGTATTTTCGATGTTTACATTTGGGTTTTTTTCGCATTTTGGTGGGAGAAAAGTACATTTCGGGCTTATAGCTGGAACTAAATCAAATCATTGAAGCAAATTCACTGTATTTTACTCTCCTCAGTATCGATAGCGTGGATTTCTCCATTTCGGGTAGTGTTTTCTGCATGGAAATTATCTTCGCTCTTCGCTTTGTCGCTAAAAAAGTAACACTCCTAGCTCATGCCGGCAGCCTAAATACATGCAGGAAAAAGCTGCTCGCTCGCGTAGCCAGTCAAATTGCAGCAAATCTCAAAATAACACTAGTTGTAAACGAATTAATAAACATTCTTATTCACGTTCTTAGAAAGTACTGGGTGGTTATACATGGACTGATGTTGAGGAAATATTGCCGAGATATAGATTAAAGTTTGTAAATTACCATTATTTCAATGAAATCATACATGTCGAAACACTATGATAATTGTTTTTACACCTCTCAATGCAATCATCTAGACTTTCATTTAAACATTTTAAACATTTTGCTCTCTTAAATTTTTACCCAAGAATTAACGTCATGGGCGAACAATGCAAAGCGTAAAATTTATTGTTCCCATGCATGGTTGATAGCTACCATCAACAAATCATGATGACTATACAATTACTTTATGGTTTCCGTGCTTGGATGGCCTGATCCAAACACGCGGGAATGTTGCGAGAGTTAAGAAAAGCGCGCGAACACGAGCCGAAGGCGAGTGATTTTGCGAGCTTTTCTTAACTCGAGCAACATTCCCAAGTGTTTGGAGCAGGCCATCCAAACATGGAAACCATAAAGTAATTGTTTTATAAAATAACAACAACACGATAGTCTTCCGTGTTTGGATGGCCTGATCCAAACACCGGTTTCGACCAATCAGAGCACGCGTTATATACATGTTATTTTATAATGATATTTTTATTCGCTACGCATCTTGGCAGTATAACGATTCCTGATATATATGACAATGACTGCCAGGCGTTTTCCCGAATGATATTCTTCCAAACAATTATTTGAACAATTGCAGTAAAATATTTGATCTGTGATCTTAACCTTTGAATGTTTTGATTGCAACGGTTGTCCATTCTGGATTTCTATTGACTCCTTGTGCTTCACCGACATATACTTTGCCAAATTCTCCTCTGCCAATGACACCAATAAATCGTATTGAATCAACAGGCATTTCAAAGTGACATATTTTATCCACTATATATCCTGGTAACCCGTAAACATTATCTTGCGAAACATATATTAAATTCACTACTCTTTCGCCGTTGTCGTCTTTCAAATTATCCTTGTTAGTGCTAACAAAAAAAAAAAACAGAAATAAGAATGGTTACTGCGATTTCATTATTACCGCTCAATTATTCCTTGACCTGGTACCAATCACATACGCCATGCATGCTTAACCGCTCGGTTGCACGAGAATAAATTAATTCAAAATCCCAAGCTATTAATATTGTCAATGGGATTTTAATTCACATTCGAGTGCTCAATATATATGCATGTGTATTACTTCAACATTAGCGGCCATCGTAAACTATCTCTGGCATGCCTATTTCATTGTTACACTATTTTAAAATTATTATATAACTAGAAAAATATGCATGCAGCAACACCTCGCCTACATTTTCCAAACACAGATTTAACATGAAGTATTAGTAATTCATCAACACTGAACGCAGGCTCGCGTGGCAACACGATAATTTAAATTATTATTATATTTTTTGTACAACGCGCCAAAAATAGTTGAAAGATTATTGCTTTTAACTATATAGCAATGAATTTCTCTGTAGCTACTATATGTATGTCGTTCTGTATTTTATCATGAGCTTTGATTTATAATGGTAATTGAGTTTATATAATAACTACAGTGAAACACGCAATTTTATTGGTCAACAGCCGTGCAGGATCAGACAATCCTGCACGGGAAATTCCGAACAGAAATTCTTGCACATAATTTTACAAATATACTCGCATTGTAAAGTTTCATTGTACGATACCATTCGACTTTGAAGTAAGTTTCCAATTATTGAGACGTTGGTTTAGTTGTATGAATAAATTTCTGATCGATACATTGCTATTCAGCAAGTAGCAACGCGCGTTGAAATTCATCAGACCATGGCATGCAAGAACAACATCTCTCGCTTCAAAGTTGATCAAACGCTTCGCAATCTTCACATATTCAGGTCGAGAACCTTCAAAAGTACTTTGGCTCTCTGTTTAGCGGGTTTTCCATTTCATATTTCGTATATTTTATCGAAAAGTCCCTGTATTTTCTCTGTATATTTTCGCGAATTTGCGAACAAATTCTGTTCACATATGTTGTTGTTTTCAATAGCGTGGAGTAGCGGTTCTCTGTTTGGTTAATTCACGAATGTTGTGAGAACTGCACATTTCATCAGTAATTTTAATGAAGTTAAGCGTCGTTTCACTGTAGTAATTTTATAAAACAATTACCAAATGGGTTTCCCGTGCAGGATAGCATGATCCATGCACTTGGGATGTTGCTCGACTTTCGGAAAGCGTAAAAATGTTTTTACGCTTTCCGAAAGTTTCGCAACATCCCGCGTGCATGGATCACGCAATCCTGCACGGAAAACCATTCGGTATTCCTTTAGTCGTGCAATTTGGACTGAAGTCAAACGCGTGGTTACAATATCGCACGACCGTGAAGCGGCAAATGATGCCTGTTTTGGTGCAGTTTTGTGCGTTTAAAATTGGAAATACGATAGGCGAATTTACCTTAAAGTTGTTTTCCCTGACGCTTTAAATTTGCTTTTCTTGGCAAAATTCTTTAAATTTGTGAAGTTTCAAACAATTTAAAATTCTTTGCAAATCTTTGATTATTTACTGTAGCTATCCATATTTTTTAGGCACTCAAGAGTATTAATCATGATATATTTTATGTAATTTTTTTGTTTTAACTTATTTGCCATATCAATTTTTTTTTAATTGATTGGCTGTTTGAATAATATGATTAAATAAGATTGGTTGGCTGAAGTTTGCAGTCTAATGTGATTGGTTGAAAGAAGGTGCGATGTCAACACGAATCGTAATGCTAGGAGTGCGATTTGTGCTGAAATCGTACTCCTGTGAAGCAGTCAGATTGAAGGAAACACCACTGATTTCAAAATGAATAAAATAAAATGTCAAATTTTACCTGAATTGCTTCGTAGAATGTTTTGAAATGTTCAACCCCGACCCAACGGCGCGGAGCGCTATCCCAGGAGTGTGCCCGGGCGAGGACACCAATTCCGAGATCCTATTTACACCAGGGAAAGGAACGCAGTAGGGCAATCTAAAGTTCACCAAATATCGCGGGCGCATTGCTATGGTTCATCTTCATGGGTGGTCATCCACAGTGATGTGAAAATATGTAGCGGACTGTCGTGAATAGCGAACACTGATTGGTCAAATAATTTTAAAATTTGCATTGTAACAACTGCACGACAGCGAAACGCTGTAATAAAAAAACATTTCTTGCAAATATATTGTATTTTTGATTTTGGAAATTTCAAAACAGTTTTGAGAAAAAGAAGCCCAAAAGCGTCGAAAAGAAGGGAGCCAAGTCGCCGACGTTAATGAAGGTAAGTTTAATTGTCTTTAATCAGTTTGATGTATTGTTTGCTTTATGATTGTTTTAAAATACTGATAAGAGTGAAAAGACATGATATAATTTCAGTGTATTTTATTACTATTAACCTTTTTTTATTATATTAAAATCTTTAAATAAAAAGGAAAGCAAAGTTGTTTTCATTCGAGAGTTTCGAATCAGTTTATTTCACACTCAATTTTAGTACCGATAAAAGGCTGTTTAGTTTTAAGAATATTTTAAAACGTTTTGCGAAGCGTTTGCAATTGTGCTTAGAAAAGTTCGTTTTGTGATTTACTTATATTGAAATGATATCGAATTTGGAAGAATGGTTTGTGATTTACTTAAATAGTTATAAATAGTTTCTTTGGGTACTTACGTAGAATAATGAATAAAAATTCTCGAACTCAGGTTTTCTAAACCGGGGGGAGGGGGGGGGTTGTGAGAGAGTTTTTCCCATCAAACTAAATGCGCAGTTTTCAAAAGTATTTCCTCGCATTTGAATTTGATAGATAAGTTAAATGTCCCACAATATTTAGAATAAACATGCCGTGCCTAAGTCAGCTAACTTTTGCCGTACATCAAATTTTGCCGTGCCGTGCGTGTTATTAATTGCAAAATATTGCAGCTACAGTCATGTACGTGCCGTGCACGGGGATTAAGTTAAGATAACAAATTATCTGAATTGTTGTTAGGTTAATGCAATTCATCTCGCGTCTTTGAGACTACATGAGCTACAAACATCTTTACATGTTTTTGTTTTTAGGGTTCACGATTTTCTATCGGACTATCAATATTACATGATAGCCTGCAGATAGCAATATTACTCCTCTGCGCTTTGAGAAACATGAAGCCAGCGTGCTAAATTTAGTCAACTTAATTAACGCTTATAATTAATCGCTATATAATTAGGGCCTGTTCATATGAGCACGGCACTGCCAGGCTAGCCCGGTTAACCGGGATGGTTTTCGAGTGCCGAGATCCCGCCTCACATATTGTTTTTATAATAATTTAAGATTCGGTTCATATATGAGAAGCAGGCCAGACCGGTTTGCCGGGATCTCGCTTGAGCGAGGCGAGATCCCGGCTTACCGGGCTCATATGAATGCACAATCGGGCTAGGCCGGAAAGCCGGATTGCAAATTTGCGTGCTTTATTTCGTTTATAAACAGTCTAAAATATTCAAAAATATAGGAAATTATCAAAATTAAACCTCCAGAAGCTGTTGCTGTCGACAAAAATACAAATTTACTGAATAAACACGACTTTTACTTTCCCGCTAAAATATTGCGGGAAATCGTTACTATGAATAGATATGATTGCTGGGCTAGCCCGTCTCATGTGAAAGCAAAGCGGGCCAGCCCAGCAAAGCGGGCCAGCCTGGTTAACCGGGCTCATATGAACAGCCCCTTAGTCGCTCACATTCTTGAGAAGCTTTAGACTATTGTGATTGTGCATGTTCACAACGAACAATAGACAAGACAATGTCTTTCTTATCGTTTGGGTTTGCTGATATAATTGCTGAATATTAATGATATTTATTGAATTGATTTAAATTGACAACGACAACGACAACGTCAACGACAACGACAACGACAACAATAACAACAACAATAACAACAACAACAGCAACAACAACAACAACAGCAACATCTCATTCAACCAGCAATGAGATCACATCAACTGTTCAACAGCCAATTAGACGGTCTCGACTTTTACAAGAACGTAGCAACACCGCAAAACTAATTAAATAATGTACATATGTAATTTTAATCTCAGTATTCTGAAGAAGGCTCGAAGTACCGGGTCGAAAGCTCAAGAAAAGTATATTCCAATCCGGAGAACTTTAATTAATTATAATATTCCTGGATTACAAATCTGTAAACATATATATATATATATATATATATATATATATATATATATATATATATATATATATATATATATATATATATATATATATATATATATATATATATATATATATATATATATATATATATATATATATTTTTCCTAATCCAAACCCTAACCCCTAACCTCTAACCCCCACCTCCTAACCACTAACCCCACCCCCTAACCCTAAAGCAGCCAGTGTTCCGCTAACCCACAGGGAATATGCTCTTGCGCTTCCCTGCCATCCACCAAACTAAGCCAACTACATTTAGGCCTATAACTAAAACTTTTGTCTAATGATTGTGGATTTGTCTTCCATTGCAACCCAATACTTTATTGCATACAATGGCATTACAACGCCAATAGATTATTGGTTACAACGTGCAGAACGGCGGCAGCATATTGAGCGCTCTACAAGATGAGCCATTGCCGCTTACGCATTGCGCACGCTCACTACTTGCAGTTTGTACGCTCTTGCATGGTTTTGATGTCCCACATCTTTTAATGCATCAAAGGTATAACTGTAAATAGCAGTTACTTTCATCCTGCCCATCAGCAAGACACTAATGAAGCCCATAAAACCTTTGCAAACATTAAACTCTAAACCTTAAAGTCTAAGTCATATTTGAGACCCATTTCTTAGAGCCTTTGTAAATATCTCCGGATAACAATTCATTCACAACAGCTGTAATATTCAACTACAAACTTGAAACTTTGTGCTCCTATTAAGCTTTGCACGCTTAGTGTTTAAGATGTATATATGTATATATTTAAATACTTACAGGCGTCGAGGATTGCTTCTACTTCCGACGTGAAAAGCTATAACCATTTCCTCTTCCATGAAAGTCATTCGCTTCTCGTGACGTTTACGCAGCCAAATAATGATTAAAATAGCGACCAGAATTACAAATGATGGAACCAGAACAGCAACAACTATAACTCCTTTGCTATTGTTCGCTACCGAATAATATGTTGTTTCTAGTAAAGTGAAATAACACAGTCACACAATTTTAAGTGGGAAACCATTTGCTCTTATACGAGATACAAGTAGAGGTTTGATACAGATATGATTTCACTATTTTACAAAACAAATTATATTGCTATTATAGCAACTTTTCAGTGGATGTATGGTGAAAGGATATCTTCCCGTCTAGCGATTGCCCTTCCTTAAGTAAGGCAAGCTAAATGTCATGAAGGTGCAATTTTTGTCACATTTGAAATCCAACATCGAACTTGCATCATTGATTGACGTTGCCGAGTCGACTCAGAGGTAAGCAGAGTAAACTGATATTTAGTAATCTTTAGATTAATAGGAGACGCCATCTTACCTGGTGTTACTTTTTCGCACTTTCCATTTTTCTCAATGAAATTTTTTTTGCATGTACAATTATGTTTTCCTGTAGCTACGATTGGCGTGCATTTATGACCAACGCCACATTGGTTAGTTCCACAAGGGTCTATATCAAAATATAATATTAATCAAGTCATTAAAATTTTCCGATTTTTTAACTTGTTGATTGCTAATCCCATATCTGGCCACACTAGTTACCGGCAGTCTTCAAAGAAAATTCATGTTGACGCGACATAAAACTTTACACTGCGGATAATTGCACAAGCAGAACGTTATCAAACTCTTGTCACAGAAGTGGTAAAGGACATGTGTGATAACCGAATCGAATAGTATCTTTTTGTAAAATTTTTCGCCAAAGGTGGGTGTATATTTATTGATAGATATTTGCGCTTGGGTAAAAAGAAATGATTATGTAGTTATTTTGTATTATTATTATTAAACTGGTTTAAAATATCGCATACAATAGCACAAAGCTAAATTACTATGCAATTTACAAAGATTAGTTACTAGATAACACATCATCCATTGTTACTATAGAGTTAAAAGTGTCTACAGCATACGGTATTGGACTGAATTTTAATCTACTTGTTTTACTATTAAAATTATAAAAAGAAATCTTTATTAGATTCGCATGGTATTTCATGTTGTTATCTGACACTTCGTTGGTGGGAGCAAGTGGTGAAGTTTGTGCTCTTCTTCTGATAAATTACTAACCAAGTTTATACAATGATCTCTCCTCCGTTCTTCCAACCAGGCAATTTCATTTGATAAAAGTGCATTCTCATACTCCTGTCTTGAACAGGTGATCTATAACGCTCGCTTTTTGACTCTTTCAATATCGATTCGTTGCTTTGCTGTTAATCCTCCAGCCCACCGTACATTGGAATACTCAGCAACAAGTCTAATCATGGTTTTATAGAACTTTATTAACCCAGCTTTTAGGGCTCCATAGTTCTTTAAAATTTTCAAAAATACAGTCTTTTCCGACTTTTTTAATTATAGCCCAAGTATTTGTTTCCCATTTTAAGTTGTTGTCTAACCACAGACAAGCTATTTAAGCAATTGACACGCTCTACTTGTATTTCCTGAATTTGTAACTCAGGAATCTCAGTTTTCTTTGCTCTAAAATCAATGATCATCTCTTTACACTTTTCCCATTCAAAACCATATCTTGACTATTTGACCAATTAACGACAGCATCTAATCGTAATTGCATTTTACCAATTTGTTCACCGGACTAGATGATTCATATACGGATGAAACAGACTGTTGTGGTTATATTACGCTCTATCTATATGGTATTGAGAACTGTTTGTGTTTCGTAAACCAAAAACTTAAGATGTATGTATATATATATATATATATATATATATATATATATATATATATATATATATATATATATATATATATATATATATATATATATATATATATATATATATTAGTTGTGTAATTGTACACTCTGTAATATGTTAAGATGAAAATGTTCTAGAGTGTGTATTATATAATTTCCATACCCAGCGCAAGCAGAAAGATGTTGTCTGCCGCGGCTGGGTCTTAAACCCGCGACCTTCGAATTACTAGATCGACGCTCTACCAACTGAGCTACACGGTCAGACGGATTTAAGACTGGAAATTATGAAATATATACTGAATGTCATAAACATACTCGTTTATATTAATTCAGCATCGAACAATACTAGTTCTGCAAGTGTTATGTTAAGCTGTGTAATTGTACACTCCGTATATAATATTACAATCAAATAATCACACGTTCCTTTCCTTTGATATCCTTGAGTTTTACCCGTCGATATCCGAGCATCTCCTTGACGAAGTTATTTCATGGGCCCAAACATTAACTGACATTACAGATCAGCACATTTCTATTATTAAGCACGCAAGAAAATCCTTACTTTTTCATGATGAGAAAACGTGGGTAAAAAGAAACAACCAATCTCTATTCGACGTAGCAATGGGAAGTTACGATGGAGCCGAGGTATGTGAGCTGGTCGGACTATTCATTTTGAATAAGCTTTCTGAGGAATTTGGAAAGAATAACATTGGACTATATCGAGATGATGGCTTAATGTTGTTGAGTGGAACCGGAAAAAGATTGGCAGACAACGCTCGAAAGTCTCTACACTGCATATTTCACAAACTTGGCTTTAAGATCACTGCCGAAGTTAACAACCAAATCGTCAATTACTTGGACGTAACCTTCAATCTGCAAACAGGGAGATATTCAGCTTACAGAAAACCCAATAACGACCCTCTCTATATAGACAGCCGGCCAAATCACCCCCCTTCTATCATCAAGCATGTCCCAGAATCCATAAGCAAAAGAATATCTAGCTTATCCTCTGATCAATTATCTTTTGATTCATCAGCAGCATTGTATGAAGACGCACTTCACCGCAGCAATTACAACGT